CTATTTTCTAATTACTGGGACGTTTCTATGTATATTTCTTATTTGAATTTTTATCGCACGTTTGATGCATATATACGTATATTTTACATAGGAGAGATATGGCTTGTTTTGACGTCCTACACTGAAATAGGAAAGGATGGAATTTTTATTGACCGATCATGAGTTGCACATGGCCTACACGCACACACAGAAGTACAAACCCATACACATAAAAAAACACAATAGGGAAAAACTGATTGCATCCGGCGGGCGTCTTGTCATGTTTGTGCCCGGGGCTTTCCATGTCTTTCAGCCCCGGGCGAGGTTGCAACCAGAGGGAGCGTTTTTCCTTTGGGTTGGGTTGGGAGAGGCTTTTATGCAACAGCAGTTGAGTAGAGCATGTAGTCTTTAATTAGATGAATCGTCAGCTACCTCCATTTCTCTCTCTCTCTCATCTTTTTCTTTTCTCCATCTCTCTCTCTTTCTCCATCTTTCTCTTTTTCTCCATTTCTCTCAAACAAATGTTACCAAAAGAGTCTTCTCCTTCCCGTTCTCATCCCTTCCGTCCCCTTTCCCTTGATCCAGCCTTGCCTGACACGAAGTCAATCCAAAACCCTATGATATAAGTTGCATAAATAAGCATTATACTTATTTAATTGCAAAGTATGAATGCAATCATATATCATATTCTTTGTGTATGTTACATGTTTTTATTATTATTATTATATATTATTATCTCATTTCGTTGACAAAAAGATTGCTTAATCAACAGTAAACGAAGGCCACTTTTAAACTAATCTTTAAATCCATCATTAAAAATGCCATGAAATGTGAACTATTGTTAAAGTAGATGGACATTGATAGATAGATAGTGTTTGTGTGTGTGTGTGTGTGTGTGTGAGAGAGAGAGAGAGAGAGAGAGAGAGAGAGAGAGAGAGAGAGAGAGAGAGAGAGAGAGAGAGATAGAGAAGTTTGTCAGCATAAATATATAAGCAGAACGTATACGCTGTACGTACATCCCTGTTACGTTCTTTCAATCAGTACAGACAAATGATTGGAAACAAAAAACATATTTCCTTGGCAAAAGCCAGGAGATAATTACTAGTGAAAACGGTACTTCATTCTCTCTCTCTCTCTCTCTCTCTCTCTCTCTCTCTCTCTCTCTCTCTCTCTCTCTCTCTCTCTCTCTCTCTCTCTCTCTCTCTCCTTCCTCTCGTCTCTCTCTTTCCCTCTCTCTTTTACAAACTATTAGAAGTGCTGGTAAACAATTTGCAAGTCATCGTGTTGCACTGCAAGCGATCGCTATTCCACGGCTGATCATGCTTCTGTTTCATTTTGATTTTAAAGATTTATTCTTTGTGTGGAACTTTCGTTATAGATTGCAGGTCTTGTCTCTATGTCAAGGAAAAGATCACGAAGCGAAAAATGAAAATAAATCTATCATGGCATCCGCCGGGAATCGAACCCGGGTCTACGGTTTTAGACCGTCGTGCTGACCGCTACACCACAGACGCTTTCATAAATAGTGAGTCATTAATAATTTCAATTGTTTATAAACACATGTTGACGATGTATCTCATTTTTCGAATGTTTTTTTATGAATTAGGTTGATGTGAACTATAATGTTCTCATTTTCTTTTTCTCTTCTCTTGCATTGTATTATTATATTATTATTATTATTATTATTATTATTATCATTATTATTATTATTATTATTATTATTATTATTATTATTATTATTATCATTATTATTATTAGTATTATTCCTATTATTGCTATTACTATTAATACCATTCATCACCGTCATCATTGCCATCATCATAATTATTATTATCATTATTATCATTGTTTTATCATTATCATCACTATTTTTTATTATAATTTTCATTACTATCACCACTATTTTTTTTATCATTTTCATTACTATCATCACTATTATCATCAATGTTATTATTATCATCCTTTTATCATTTTATAATCATTATTATCCTTATTCTTATTCATTATTATTATCATTTTTATTATTATCATTATTATTATCATTGTTACTATTACTACTATCATTATCAGACAGGGGGGGGGGGTCGGGGAGAATGGAAAAGGAGAGAGCCTGGGATGCTTTATCAGTAAATAAGGTTTTCAGGAGGGAAAATATGAATAAAATTATGTACGATTTACCATCATGTTCCTTTTCGATTTGTGATGTAAGTCGCCGACGCCCTCCAGCTGTTGCGGGAGCGAGGGGGGGGGAGGGGGGGGGCGAGCCTTGGCGCCCAGAGGCTGGCTGCCTCGGGCGCGAGCGAGCCTTTCTGGGAGAGTTATTTGTTCCTTGAGAAATGGCCTGAGTGAAGGCCTATGAAAACAAAGCAAAGCAACAAAATAGATATATTGCGATGATTGATTCTCTCTCACACTTTCCTTATCTTAGATATACTTTCTTTCTAAAGTTCAGATATGAAGTCGCAGTCAGGATTAGTTCCCTTGGCCCTAACCGAACGAATCATGTTGCATACATGTCTCTCTCTCTCTCTCTTTCTCCTCACATCTATCATTTATGAGGGGGAGGGGAAGACAGCGAGAAAGAGAGAGGAGGGGAGAAGGGGACGGAGAGATAGATGGAGAGGGAAAGGGAGACAGATAAACAGATGCAAATGCAGAGAGAGACAGACAGACAGACAGACAGAGGGATGAACAAAGAGAGACAAAGACAGGCATCGAGGAAGACAGAAAGAGAGAATGAAAAACATCCCTGTAATAAAAAGCTGAAACAAGAAAAGGTTGAAAAAGGAACGAGGTCGTTAATCAAGTAAAGATGAACAGCTGTTATCGTTGAAGATGAAGAAGCCTTCTCCGAATCCTCGCTTGTTCATTGGCTTCGGCGATCAATAAAAATGTTCCCGTAACAATTACATTTTAATATAATAAGAAATCGCATGTCATCGGAGTCGCCAAGTATGTAAAGGCTGAAAAAGAGAACAATAATGCAAATAATAATGATGATGACAATACTGCATTGCAAATGTATCTAAAGCCAAATTTGATTTCCATCGACATATTCGGTGATCTGTGAATAAACCTATCACTTTTTTTAAATTATTTTCTTTCATTATTCGTGTAATAGATAGATAGAAAGATGGACGGATAGACAGACATAGAGAGAAAACGAGGAAGAGAGAATTTTATGCAAGTAAAAAGTTAACACAAAAGTAGCCATGTAGCATCTGCATATTAAAGCTGTCATTTTCTATCATGAACCTGTCTGTCCAAGTTATGTAATAGATAAAGATAGCTATTTCAAGTGCATGCGAAGGTGGTGCTTCTCTCATCTCAGATCGCTAATACTGTCATCACAATTGCTGTTACTGATAGAGTCACATTTGCTCTTGTTCCCATTTTTACGTGCTATTACTGATCTTTATTATCTTTATGTTTATTTGCCTCATTTCTTCTGATCGCCCTTCCCACTGTTATTGCGATTATTGGTGTTATTGCCACTTTCGTCTTTATCCTTCGCGTCTTTCTTTCTCCTTATCTGTCTCTTTCTTTCCATCTATCATCTCCGTTTACGTCTTTCTCTCACTTTTATACCTTTCTATTCTGAAAGTAAACCGGGCTGCTGCTGCAAACGTGCATGAGAGATAGGCTCTTGTTTCAATCTAATATCTCTGAGATCTATCTATCTATTTATGTATATATCTATCTATGCATTCATCTATTCATCTAGCTGTTTAGCTATCAATCTATCTGTTCATCTATATATCCATTTAATTATCTTTCTATATATCTGTTTATCTGTTTATATATCTATCTATCTCTATCTGTTTATCTATCTATATATATTTATATATCTCTTTGTCTATCTGTCTGTTTGTTTATCTGTATATCTATATATCTGTCTTCCCGTCTATCTGTAGAACCATCTATCTATCTATGTAACAAATAGATATATAAAGAGAAAGATAGATAAATGGAGGGAGAGAGACTTATATACAGACAAAGATAGATATGTAAGCAGAGGTAGATGGATAGAGAGAGGGAGAGACATATGGAGAGAGAAAGAGGGCGTGTATTTTGCCATTCATGTATGCGCACACACACACACACACACACACACACACACACACACACACACACACAAACACACATACACACACACACACATATATGTATGTATATATACATATATGTATATACATGTATACGGAAATGTATTTCTATGTACACAAACACACACACACACAAACACTCACACACACACGAGCACGCACTCACTAACACACAATCGGAAATGCATCCACACACCACACACAGACACAAAAAAAAAAAAAAAAAAAAAAAAACGCACTTAAACACATTCACAGAAACACTCACTCATACGGACACACACATTCGGAAATGCTTCCACACAAGTACATGCAAACACACACACAGACACACACAGCCTGGGGCGCAATCGCACGCCCTCCGCCCAACCTCCTTACGGGAGCCAAGGAACCCAACTCCGTCGTGCGACAAACAGACGCGGCCTCGAGAACCGCACCGAGAGCAAACCCTCTCAAGGATCTCAAGGATCACTCGACCTTCGAGGACCAGCGGAGACACAGCCATGATGTCCCTCGAGCGTCTGACACGAAAGATGGCGGCGATCGCCCTGGGGCCTCGCGACGCCCAGGAGCGCAGCGCCAAGCGCAAGGCCACGTGGGCGGACGAGCGCCAGCAGCAGCACGCCGCCAAGAAGCGGAGGGAGCAGGAGCAGGCGCCAATAAGCCTCCCCGGCGTGGAGTGCTTCGAGGCCCAGGCGGAGACGACGCCCACCTCGACCACGTCCTCCCTCGACGCGCTGATGCTCGAGCTGGACATGCTCGCCCTCGAGCGGTGCGAGCTGGAGGCCGTGGAGCCCCGCGGGGGGCCTTCAGGTACTGCGACCTGAAGCAGCGCAGGGCAGAGCGCAAGGCGCAGCGGGCAGCAGAGCGCCAGCAGTAGCAGGCCAAGCGGGAGGAGCAGGAGGAGGAGCCCGTGAG